CCACCCCCTCACAGCCTCCACTGGAGCAAACCAAACCACCCGAGCGGATCGGCCAACTTCCTCCATTCCCTCCCTCTTATGTCTGTCTCTCCCTGAAACTCTCCCGACTTTTGACCCTTTCTCCCACATTTCCCTCGTTTTTCTCATCCAACCCCGCCAGGTCAACGGCTCACACGGGAGTTTGCTCCGTTTCGCCCTCTCCTCATCCTTCCCCCTCCTATCCGACTGTTGCGGTGCTGCGGCCTCTGGCTCGATATCGGTACCTGAAGTACTGCCACTGCGTAATTGCCAAGCCCACCACCACGAACTAACTAACCCCCCCGACCCATCGACCGTCGCCCGACCTTGAAGTCTACTGTCCGCAATCTCCCTCAGCGCCCAAGCGGGAACACCATTTGGTTACACGACCATCTAGGACCGCTGCTCTCGGGAGCGGCAACTGCAACAATACAACAACTGCTCCTAATACTATAGCCGGAACCCGATCCCGGTTTGCCATCTGACGGCGCCCACAATGGGTTTCCTCGGTGTGTACACGGCCCTTTACGACTACCACCCCCAGGCGCAAGGTGAATTAGAGCTTCGCGAGGGTGACCTATTATACCTCCTCGAGAGCAACAATGAAGACGACTGGTGGAAGGCCAAGAAGAAGGCGGAACACGATGATGAGGACGAGCCTGAGGGTCTTGTGCCTAATAACTACATAGAGGAGGTAAGGGTGCATCCTATAGCGCTTTGTTGTTCAGTTTGGAATTAGAGGAGGCATCCTGGTTGTCCTCCGGGCCTCCCGTCCTCTGTTCGAAGTTGGTGGTTGTTCCCACCTTCAGGGGTAGAGAGTGGATCACCGTTGAATCGGGCATTTACTGACTGTGGAACCGAATTGAATACATAGGCCCAGCCAATTCACTCAGCCAAAGCACTCTTCGATTACACACGCCAAACAGATGAAGAAGTGTCCTTCTCGGAAGATGCAGAACTGGTGGTGTACGACACATCGGACCCGGACTGGACCTTGGTCGGCGTCAGCGGAGATTTCGGCTTCGCCCCTGCAAACTATATCGAGATTGTCGAACAGGCTGCCCACACTCCCGTAACGTCGTCTGTCCCTTCTCCCGGCGAAGCCGCACCTCCGACCCTCCCGCAGCGCCCAGCGGCGGCACCAACGGAAGAACCCAGTAGCCCCGTCTCAAGCTCGCCCATCGATACCGTTCAGAACCCAGCCGCCGCGGCGATTGCTGACATCATTCACAAACAGCATGCAGAGCCCGAAGCCACCAGGGCAGTGCCACCACCCCCGCAGCCTCAGCCGTCGTATGAACCTGAACCAAGCTATCAGCGGGAGCCTTCGCCGCCGCCGCCAGCTCTACCACAACGTCCCCCGTCCCAGCAGATATCTCCGCGTGTAGAATCTCCCCGGTCCCCGGGTCTACCGCCACGTCCTCCTCAGATCACCATAGCGCAGGAGCAGAATGCCAAAGGACACGTGAAAGAGTCCCCGCCGTACAACAGAGTCGGCCCTGCACCCCGCTCTCCTTCTGGCTATCACATCTACAATGTCAATGAAATGGTTGAGGTGATGGGCAAAAGGAAGAAGATGCCCACGACCCTGGGTATCAACATTGCCACTGGGACGATCTTCATCTCGCCGGAAGATGATGGAGAAGAGCAGGAATGGACAGCTGACAAACTGTCTCATTACTCCATTGAAGGGAAGCACGTTTTTGTTGACCTGGTTCGTCCCAGTAAGAGCATTGACTTCCATGCCGGCGCAAAAGACACTGCGCGCGAGATTGTCGCTGCACTTGGTGAAATCTCCGGAGCCTATCGCGCAGAGGGCCTAAGGGAAGTCATTGCGGCTGGCTCCGGTGGGGGAGGACAGAAGAAGGGTCAAATTCTCTATGATTTTGTGGCACAGCAAGACGACGAAGTGGGCGTAAATGTTGGCGATGAAGTTATTGTTATTGACGACACCAAGTCTGAGGAATGGTGGATGGTCCGGCGCGTGAAGAATGGAAAGGAGGGCGTAGTTCCAAGTAGCTATGTCGAGATCACCGGCTATGCCTCTAACAGTCAGCCATCAGGCGTTGATTCGGGCTTGTCGGCAGTGGAGCGAAACCGTCTCGAAGAGTCAAGGTTGGCCAAGGAGGCTTTGCGCAAGTCGCGAACCGATTCAGTTGATTCGCCACGTGCAGAGGTAGGCGCTGTCCGTTGGCCATTTGGCCTATATGTCATGGTTCCATTAGAAACGCTAACAGTTATGTTTAACATTATAGCATCACAAGCGTGACAGCCGAAGCAGCCAAAAATCAAGTGAGTCCCCGTTTCCTCTTTCACTGTGTAAGAATATTAGTTATACTAATGGACCCCAAGAGCCAGATCCAACCAAGACGAGACAATGGACCGACCGCACCAAAACTTTCACTGTGGAGGCTCAATTCATCGGCCTGCAGGACGGTAAGATCCATCTCCACAAGATGAATGGGGTCAAGATTGCAGTCCCGATTCCAAAAATGTCTCTTCAGGATCTGGAATACGTTGAGAAGATGACGGGAGTGTCACTCGACGAGGATAAGCCACTCTCCGACATCAAACGTCGTTCAACCCAGCGAGAACCTGAGAAGCCTCGGCCTTCGGCCGACAACAAACGTCCTGAGCTTGCTGGAGCTTCGTTCCAGCAGTCCGATTATGATTGGTTCGATTTCTTCCTGAAAGCAGGGGTCGGTCCACACCAATGTGAGAGGTATGCTCAGAATTTCACCAAGGATTCGATGGACGAGAGCATTCTTCCGGATATTACACCGGAAGTACTTCGCACGCTTGGCTTGAAGGAAGGCGATATCTTGCGAGTGATGCGCCACCTGGATACCATGTTCGGTCGTACAGGAGCCAAATCTAAGCTGCGCAATGTAAGCTTCGGTGGAGAGGAAGTTATCAGTAATGGTGAGGACGGTGGTAGTTTGTTCGCGGGTCCGGGAGGCGTCCTGCGCAACAATACTCGCAAGGGCAGACCAGCGCCGGCCGTCCAGACTGGAGATGTGGTTGACCCCAAGGCTTTCGAGCAAAAGGATGACTCCAACAACGCGGAACCAAAGGAAGCCTCTCCAACTTCTGCGCCATCGGAAAAGCCCGTCCAACGTGGTTTTGATGACGATGCATGGGAGGTCAAGCAGCCGAAGCAGGCTGCTCCTGCGCCAGCTCCGGCTCCGGCACCTGCGGCGGCAACGCCGACTTCACCCCCTGCTGCAGCCTCACCTGCGACAACGCAGCCACCACAGCAGCAGCTTACCGGGGCGATGGCAGACTTGTCTGTACTTCATCCTCCGCTACAGCCAACCCCTACCCAGCCGACTCCCGCTTCACAACCTCCGCCAGCATCCCAGGCACCCCCAGTTATTCAACCTCAGCCGACTGCTGTACCCGCACCTGCCCCCCAACAGCCACAGCAAACCGGTGCTACCCCCGGCTTCTTCTCTCAATTGGGTCAGCCAGGACAGCAACCGCTCCAGAACCCCGCGCAGGGATTCAGTCCCCAGGCAACTGGGTTCCAACAAGCTTCCAGACCACGCCCGCAGCCTCCTCAGACTCTGGGTCAAAATTCGCTGCTTCCCCCTCCACCTCAGCGACCACTTTCTGCACCCCAGAACTTCCCTCAACAGCAAAGCTCCTTTGGTCTCCCTCCACTGCAGCCTCAGCTCACAGGGCTACCTCAAGCGGGGCCGCCACTTGCTGCTCCAGGTCAGAGTCTGGCCGAACTAAACCAGCAGCGATTCCAGCAACCGCTCCAACCACAGCCAACCGCGTTCATGCCTCAAAACCAGTTCCAAAATGGCCTGATGCCACAACCCACTGGATTTCAACCGCAGTCTCAATTTGGAATTCAGCAACAACAGCACCAGCAGACTGGCTTCCAGGGACTTGCACCTCAACCCACTGGCTTCGGTTTCCAAGCGCAGCCGCAACAACCAATGCAAACCGGCATTAACTCCGTTCTTCCCCCACCCCTGCAGCCTCAACCCACCGGTATGAATGGTGTCGGTAGCATGCATTACACTACGTCGCCACCGCCAATCCCACCAATTCCTCAGCAGCCAACAGCTGCACCGCTGACCCCACAGAAGACTGGACCCGCACCCCCAATCAGATTTGGTGTCAAACATGACGCTCCCAAGAAGCTCGCTCCCCAGCCGACGGGTCTCCGGGCTAATCTTGCGCAAGCCAGTAAGTTCCACCAGCAATATATGTCTTTAGTGGTTACTAACCATGTCGTACAGCGCCCACGAATCCGTTCGGTTTCTAATCTGAACATGTATATAATCTTTTTTGCTTTTGCGGCACATGACACATATCTTATACATTATTTACTCTCCACAACGGCGGTTCCGCACGCTAACCATAAAAACTCGCGTCTTCCTCCCTCTGACGCCGTAATGCGTACTAAAACGTCTTGACCCATCATATCGATCCACGCAGCCATGTTTGGAGCAATGTCCCGCATATTTCCTTCTGACGCAGCCTCAGAAAGCTAGATTTGGCTTCACTCTTTATTTTCCTTTTTTTTTTCTTTCTGGTTACCGTTGTTAAAGCTACGTATCCTAAAGATATGTCTTCTTGCCCTGATAGCTGTTTCTTTTGTTCTTTATTGGTGCTTGATATCCCCGATTACCTGCTCCAGGGTGTCTGTCTCTAGAAAACGTTGTCCGTTTTTTTTTTACAATAATGTATGTTGAGGGACTCTGGAAAATTTGCCTTTTTGTTGGAAGGGCTCATGAATTGTGCCTTGATACCTCTCCCTGGGATACCAGCCAATAGTAGTATGATTTTTGTTCTCGTCACCTATTTCTTTTGATAATCTTGGTCATGTTGTACGATAGATCCAGGGTTACTCCAATAAATCTATGCCAGGGACCTTCGTTCATATTGTAGCTAGTAGCTACGAGTGCTTTTGTTCATGACGACTCGGGCTGAGGTTGAGAGACACAATAAGGGAAACAATGACATCAGCCCGGATGGTCTAGTGGTATGATTCTCGCTTGTAAGCTACCCTCATCAACTGTTCCATCAACATCTTAAATACTAATAATTCTTCCAGTGGGCTACAATAGTACCAATCTGCGAGAGGCCCCGCGTTCGAACCGCGGTTCGGGCCCATTCTTTTTTACTTTCCGTTTTGTTTTGTTCATTCGTCTCTTTACTTTATCTTATTTTTTTTCTATCTTAGCAGCAGCTCTTATCTATATACCTGATGTTTGGCAAGTAGAGCTGAACACCAATTTCCTAAAGGGGGAATAGGACTACGATGAAGCATCGGAGTGATAACTAATCATTATAGAAGAACCTGCCACATCCTCGCATATGCAAGCTCATTCGCATATCACACCGCGCTATAGAGAGAGAGTATCCAAACCCGAGAAAGGTGTCTCAGGGCCTTACAGAGGAAAGGAGCTGTGGGCTCTCTCAGCCTTACAAAGCAGAAGAATGTTATGGGGTGATAGCTGCAGAAGCGGAGAGAAACTTTCTCCTCTACGTGAAGAGAGAGCACTTGGACAATCGAGCACCAGAAGCCACTCGTATGACCCGGGATTTGCCTTGTGTGGGGTCAAGAGAAGGTCTGGATCCGGCCCGGCTCGGCTCCCGTTTCCCTGTTTTTTGAGGCTACATTGCTGCGGGGATTACGAGCCTCACAGCTTTCATGATTATGTCTAGTGCCTGTTATGCTTTCTAGTCTCAGCTCCATTGGGAAAGTGGTTGCTCAACATGGCATTTCAGATGATCTTCAGGGACCTCGGCTGAGATACTTTCCCCCTGAGCTTGTTCTACCGCTTCTATAGTTTGATCTGCACTAACACACCTTGATAGCCTGGTTGTCTACCTCTCCTTTGGCGTTTCTTTATCAAAGACTGGCAAATTCGGGAGTTCGATCTGCAGGGCAATGACCATGCACACATATGAAGAATATTCTTCAAGATTATCCAGCTCGCTCCCATCCACTTTTATTTCCTGGCTCAGTACCTGCCTAATGTGTAAAAGTTGCATCATTATCGATTACTGAACCATTGGCATAGAGCTAGAAAGGATGCCAGGCCAATGGCATCTCAGCCATCAGCTAGTAGGGCTCCACAAGGGTACATACTCCTGCCTTTTGGGTCTGCCAGGGTTGGGGGCCGTTCTATATCATTCAACAAGTTTCAGGGTCCATTTAGCGCTGAACAAATAAGCCATTGACCAAGGTGCTTGATATGACAAATGTGGGGAGTAGAGTCCCTTTAGTTGCCCTCGCTGTTCGTTTGCCCCAGACGTGAGGCTAGAAGCAATTGTGGGTACCACAGCCACGAGTTACTTGGAAGAGGCCGGACACGGATCAAAAGGCGCTGACTCGGGTGCAAGGAGGCTTATGTCCGGTCAATTTGTACATGATCGCCACTCATGTCTACTGCTCCGCTGAGGATACTGCTGGCATTTCCAACGACACCAACCTTGCCTATTCAGTCATCTTCCTGCTATTGGACCCTCCTCCTGGAGATATTACTTCCTGCTATTAGTTAACCGGCGGAAGGTGGACATCCGGGAAATGGCATTATTCGTTCCATTAGTGATCATCACTACTATTGACTGGGCGATGTGGAGTCTACTCTACAGTGATCCTTCGATTGCTGATCTCCACTGCTTGTTGGACAGTTTGGGACTACGATTGGATGGACATCGAACTGTTCCTGTTTAGGAATCTCGTGTGAGGCACAAGTCAGGATATCCTCGCAGGTACCCATTGAGGCTGTAAGTCCAACACCAAGAAAGAATCCCTGCAGGACAACCTTGGAATGTAACGCTCTTGACGACAAGTGATCCGATTGCCTGAACATCAGGCCGGATATTGACCTTGCCCGAATAATGGATCAGACTGGGGGCCTAACCTCCATCGCTGAATCCGAAACCCGATGACAAAGAAGACCTCCAACAAAGATATAAAAGGGACCTAACCATCTCTCAAACTAACCTCATCATCACAGCAAACAGCTTCATTCATCAGAAGAATCAAAAACCAACCGCATCTACTCCAAGCCAAGGAACAATCACAACAATGCAATTCAAAACCTTCCTCTCCACCCTCCCATTCATCACGGCCGTCCTGGCCAACCCAGCCCCAGTGCCAGCCCCCGTGCCCGGCACCGTCGCCGTCGGATACGGCCAGCAACTCCAGAACAACGACCAGGCCAACCACTGGGTCGTCTGGATCGAGGGCGAAAGCGCCTGCCCCAACACTCGCGTTCTGACCAGGCTTACCGACAGCCCTTGCGACCAGACCTTCTACTTCAACAACAAAGCCTACCACCTCGCCGACTGCGGCAGCGACAATGAGCCCCGTCGTGTGGTTCAGCCCGGCGGTGGCTCCGCCAGCTGCTCTCGCGACAACCGCAAGATTACATGCCACGGTAGCACCCATGACATTGTCAAGCATGGCAAGTGTTAAACGGATTCAGGATGCGAATTGGGAAGCATGACGCGTGGAAACGGGGATTGGGGAAGTGTGGTTATGTTGAGTCAGAACATGAATGGGAAGGAGGCATGACGCGTAAAGACAGGGATTATGCTTACGCTCATGGCTATGGTCTTGTGTTACATGTCAATGTCAATAACCTGCGCGTGATGTCATAGCCTATACGTTCGTGAACACCTAGGTTGAATGAGATGGATTTGTCTTCGATTTGTGACGTACCAGTCGTATGATATAAGAGCCTCCTATACGAGAACCGTAGATAATATGTCCATATCCTAGTCAAGCATAAATATAATGAAGAGCCCCCGTTCGTGAAACCTACCGGATCCGTCACGGCGGTACTGTACGCTTTAGCGCCGGGAGGGACCGCCGGAACCAACTTAGAATTAGCATCCGCCCGGATGCCCGGATGCACAGACTCTATTCATTGAGTGGATGGTTACATTAGCATTAATTAACCTTTGAGGGTTCCTGTCAATTTACCTTCTGTTAATTGTTTAGAATAGTTAAGAAATATCGTTCTAGAATGATATTTGCTACGTACCTTGCTATGCTATATTATCATCTATATCTTAAATACAATCTCCGTGTATTCCTAAATATAGAGATTTCTGTTATATATAAACTCTCCTAAAGACTAGAGTCAGCCAACCCGACAGTAAACTCATATTTCCTTTCATCCCATTCCTTTCAACTTTTATACAGATTACGACATCCATACTACTACAAATATTCACTGCAGAACATAATTAAAGTAACCCCAAGAACTAGCTACCTAGCAATATATTGACACACCCTTGGGATCTCCCTCACTCTCTCACTTACATCTCAACTCAAGGGCCTCAGATCCCTCCCCATCCCCCATCTTCCCAGCCCTCGCCTGTCTCAACCCAGCAAGCTCATACGCCAACACAGCACGACAACACACAACCGACGCAAGAAACCGCCCCGCGTTCGCGAGCGCATCCTCAACTGAGATAAACAACAAGCTGGAAAGCACCATCGTCCCATACAAGATATGGACTACCGCGCCGGTAGAGACGCACCATGAGAACAGCAGATATAAATACGATTCTTCGATCTCATCGACGTCCGGGGGTGGAGTAGAGTACAGCGATGGGGTTATTTCCTGGATAAGATATCTCCGGAACCAGTTCTGCCGGGCAATATGTGGTTCTCCCACAGGTGATCGGATAACGCGATAGCGAAGAGATAGCGCGATGGTTCCCCCGATATGAATGAGCCCGATGATGAACGCCCAGATAAGTGGTTGGGCGGTGACTTCTGTCGCGTAGTTACATATGCATTGGATGCCTAGCTGGTAGCAGGCGGTCGCGATATTCGCGACAGCGCCTAACGCGACGATATACTCCAGCGCCGAGATGAGGATCCATATTCTTCCGCCTGGTTTCGGGATGGTTATCCTTTTCTTTATCCCGTCAGCGCCTAGGAGTGCTTTCACGTTGGGGTATTCGAAGGGTCGGTCCGGTAGGACTGCCGGGGATCCCAGCGCTAGACACAGCGAGAGGAATGGTCGGCCTGCGACCCGTGCCAGGATGGCTGTGTCGACTGTGTTGGAGCCGAGCATGGAGAGCATGGTCGGTAGGAGGCCGAGGATGACACCCGCGTTGGCCATGTTGGCTTTCACGTTTTCCGGGAGGTTGCTGAGCATACAAGAGACCAGGGGCGCGGTCAAGGCGCTGCCTTTTGTTGGATCATACCAGAGTTGGTATTCTGGGTCAAAGCCGGGAGTTTTGTTGAGGTAGTTTTGGTATTGTTCGGAGCAGTTGTTGTTGAGGACGAACTCGATCTGCGAGCGGAATTGTTTGTACCAGTGCTGGAATTGGTTGGGGGCTGCTGCTGCCACGGCAGCTTGGATCAGGAGTAGGAGTATTATCCGCATGGTTGGGAGATTGGGCCCTCACGTTGGGAGGTATGGGATAAGGGTTTATGGTGGATTGAAACAGGCATTATCAGGAAGTCTTCAAGAGAGGTTCGCGTGGACAATTCTTCCATGATGTGATGCAGGGCGCTAAAGCTGCCCCTCCTGATGATTACGAGTCATTGTTGCACTATCATCGTATCAGTTCATGCATTCCTGATCCGTGTGGCGGCTTAGCTTATCCTTCGTGTCGGTGACGAACCTATCTCGGATAGCTCGACACTTAGTTGGACGGATAGTCTTAATGCGTGGCTTGAGAGAGCCTATCAGGGCCGTTCTATGGATCGCGCCGAGCCGTGACAGCTGGAGCTTTGACACATTTCTTCGTGTTTTTTACTGCCCAGGGTTTTTCCGCAGGTTAAAGTCAAGGCAACTAATGCCCTACAAATGCCGATGCCGAGGTTCCAGACCTGTGCGTTACCCACTCACAGAGTTGATCAAACCTCCTATACAATTCCTGACAGCCTGCCAGACATACCTATACTGCAAGGGTGCCTGGTTCCCGCCGAATCCAGGCAGACAGAGCAAACCAGATGGGCAACTAAAGTTTTATATAATAAAACGTCTAACGCTAATGCAACGCCCAGCTGATTCAAAATGGATCATATAGTCATGAAGTCGGTCATAGTTACACAGGATAAATGTACAACTCATCTTGCTTGTTAAGGGGTATATGCACGTATTGTGGAGGTCGAAGAGGACCAAATATAGA